AAAAAATATCGAGATATATATCTTATATCACCACCCAGCTAAAAAATATCGAGATATGAATTTTGGGTCATATCGCCCAGCCCTACTGTGAATCTCATTTTTCTACTTTCAACATTTTTATAAACAACTTTCCGTCTTCATGTGTGAACCCCACCAGCAAGGGCTGCATCACTGAGGACAACATATTATAATCATGAAGTTTTTGTCTTTTTAATGTGTTTACAAAGAAATACTGAGTATATTAATAAAAAGTTTGGAATTTGTAATCAGTATCTGTAGTTTGTTGGGACCAAAAACTGCTTCATAAGCACAATGTCCAACAACAATATTCAAAATGCTAAATGGCAATCTTAGAGAAAACTGCTATTGTTCCAGCAGTCAGAAGACAAGAATGACAGTTGGGGTTTTATTTTTGGAAGTGGTTTCCCCTTCCTTTTTGAAACCAAAGTGTCAGACATGTGAAGCTTTGTTGTTTTATTTATCCATTTCTCACCACGTGTTCCGACACACAACCCCGCTTGTGGCCTTGAACTCGACCTCCTCTCTGGTGAGTAGAAGCTCTAACAAGCTCTAGGTGTGAGTCACTGGGTGAGCATGCCTGGAGGTACAACCTACTCTCTAATGATGCTTTTAAGACACCCCTCACCACCCCGCCCCGCCACCATCGACCCGCACCCCCATCTGACTTGCCGCTCCCTCTCTCCGACTCATTTTTCAGTCACTAAAACTTCATCAGATTTACACGTCTCCTTGTCTTTATTTAACTTCTCTAAACTCGCCTTCCATGCTTTGCTACCGCTCCCCTTTTCTCCCCTCATATGTCATCTTCCACCCCCCCCACCCCTTTTTTTTTTCATCTCTGTCGGGAACAATAACACCCAGTGTGGTTGCCGCTAAGAGGGAGCAGATGCTGGAGCTGCTGCCCACTCAGTGCACTAAACCTCCCACCGCAGGACTCTGAATCCTGTCCCTCCTCCTCCTCCATAGCCACAAAGAACACAGGGCAGCGACACCAGCGCCAGCTCTGGCCTCCACCTCCCATCTCCAGCAAGGAAGGGTGGATAGGTTCACGTACGCAGCCTTATGGGGGTGTAACAGTAGCAGTACTCTCCTCTTGGACTAAAGTATGAGGATTTAAAGATATAAAATACTAGAGAAAAAACGTTATCGTTGAAAACCAAATGTGTTAAATGTAAAGTTTATCTGTTCCACAAGTTTGATGTGGAAAATATTTCTAACTTTCCAACTTTGTGTAACAGGTGCCTGTGCTGTTTGGGAAAAAAGAAAGAAAAGGATATTCAAGACTAAATACATACGACTTCCCCTCTCAGTAATAATAATAAAGGAGAAGATTTGTCATCTCTTATATCTTACTACAACCTTTAGTTCCTATTTAAAATCACATCATTTCACAGTTTAATTTCTTACATGTGAGTTGCAAAAATGGGAAGTGCTCAGTCATGTGACCGATAGAGTTGCGAACGTATTTGTACATAAACAACAAGCCATCCTTCTGAATATTTCCATGGATTCTATAAGAGCAGCAACAATATTCAGCTAAATGCTGGATGTGATTTATTTTAGCACGCACACTCGGCAGGTGGGTCATATATATGTAATTTGTAAGGACACATGTTCTGAGCCTCTGACCTCCAGAGGAAACCTGGTTAAAGTATGTCAAGAACGGGATTCTCCCAATTGCTTCAGAAGAAATTTAACATCTAGAAACTAGTAAAGAGACACAATCTCATAACCAGAAACACAATATTTGCTCTTCTGCTCTACTTACTGTCACCTCAGGGGAAACTGTGGAGTAAGCCTTTAAGTAAATAAAACCAAAACCTGACACTAATACTGCAAATGGAGGGTGAAAAAAGTGTGTTTCTAGGTTAAATGTGTGAGCTTCCAACATAGACACGCACTGAAGTTCTGACCCGGGTCTAATTAACCCACAGATCTGCAGCTCTGTGCACCCACCTTCCTGCCACTCCAGATGTGCCTACAGCATCTCTGATGTCTATTTAATGTTCACCAGCTAAGTGACCATCTGTTTATGCACTCTAGCTGTTCCCTTCCTCCCTCTCTTTATCTCTCCCTCTCTTCAGGCCCTGTGTTTAGCCAAGAGTTTTAAGAGGCTGAGCAGCTCACTATATGGGAATCCTAATTGATTTACTGGTTTTTCTGCTTTACATTGTTTATGTTTTGTTCTACTTGAAATCATGCCTCTTCCTGAAAACAAAACGTCTTTCATCTGAAGTATAAAACGTCTTTACTCTTCAACAAGTCGTTCAAACGCAAACGTTTTA